AAGATAAACTGCACCTGCAGCCGAAGTAAAAGGATCTATCACCCGCCCTTCCTTGCCCCACCGGACCAATATGGCTCCGCCTCGCGAAGTTGCACTTCATCAACTCAATCATACAAAGCTTCCTTTTCCTCTCATGCGCCTGTAGACCATGCATTGAGGTGGTAAAAGCTTTGCCATTAAACTAGCACTTGGATTGTTGATACCATGGTTGAGTTTGCCAAATAAGCATTTATAAGTGATTTTCGGCTAAATGTTGCCCTGGGTTTCAAATGCCTGTCGTTCATCGCATAATCCTCTAGGGACTAGTGGAGCGATGCTGTGGCAACCACGCGACCCGGCAAGTCTGGCACGAGCCGGTTGATTCAGCACTTGTATTATTTTCGTCGCAATATAGATATCCTCTATTTAATTCTTTCGAATACTCCATTAGGCGATTCATAAAGCTAAAATATGAATATTTCATGTTTTTCTGATTGCAACACCCTCAGGAACTTTCGTCGCGGTGGTGTGGAGCCGCACTTCGCCGGCGGGTCCTCCGCCACAGCAACCACAACCATTTGGGAACAGATGACCTTATATTCGGCATTCTTATTTCATCAGCGACAAATATTTCGCAGTGCGCAGCGCGCACGATCTCGATAATTCGCGCGTCGCTTGCTGCCACACTCGTTGGGGCTTCTTTTGATTGGGATTGTTAATTCCACCGATAACCGAACTAGTCGTCGATTTAAAGCTGCAGCATTGGGATCGGTAGAACATGCGTGATTACATTCAGCCCTATCGCCTGGGACGGAGCAGGTGGTTCGCATGGCATGATGGTGTGCTACTGATTTGTGGCTGTGTAGCGCAGGATCCTTGCAGCTGGCCGTGCTTGTGTCTATCTTCGCTCACCTCCTCACGTTGCACATCTACGGGGTAGGTGATGGTGATGCACTTGACATCGCTGATGGTGATTCTTACACAGAAGTCTCGTGGGTCGTTGTAGGCTTCACGGCATCGAGTATTACGGGGGTATCACCAGGGTTGGATTTGGTCACTCAAGTGCACTTCACAAGGATGGATCTGAGTTTGGCACAATTGTAATGAACACAAGACAAGTACTGGGTTTAACAATTCAATAAAATAACCGTGACTAGAAATTCAAGTGTCCACCAAGAAACAAAAAACAAACATATAAAGCGAATGCATCATGCAGCAGGAATTAAACTCTTAGAAGTCCTTAGTTGGCCAACATCACAGATGCTACACTAAGCACGCCTAAGCACGCCTAAGCACGTCCCTTATAAGATCTTCCGTAGTGCGATCTTCCCCAGTCTGATCTTCCTTGATCATTATAGTGTCACCATGAACTAATAACACCTTCTTAAGCCGGGGCGCTAGTTCTCTGATGCGACGGTAGCCTTCGTCAGTGAGAGTTTCGCCGTACTCAGATGTGACACGATCAATTCGTAGGTATGTAATGAAATCAGAGGTCTTATTCTATTCACCGAGAGGAGAGAAGTTGATTTGCACGATGATGTTTTTATTGACGAAATTTACATGATCTTATATAGACAGAATAAGGAGAAATTGACACGTTTACGGAAAGAAAAGAAGACATTACCAATACCCAATTATCCTCCAAATTCCTCTGAATCGGCCTGATTTCTTCGTCAACGCATCCCGATTACTCAGTAAATGCATGACGTGGCATCTCCAGCCATGTGGCGATTCCGACTCTCGTTGTGGCAGCTCCGAGCCTTACGTGGCAAAGAGTTCAGTTAATGTTTACCGAATACATTTACTGACCCCGATGCGAGCTGTCCAACCTTAGACTAGCCGAGAATATGCTGCAGTCGATTCGATGCGACATTACCACACTCCTAGGCGCGCTGTACGGCACCCGAATTAAGTGTCTTTCTTTGATCCCCTGAGGGTATTGGCTGGCCCCTCATTGAGAAACGGCTGTTTCCACGCCGAAGAGCGGGCGTCCCGCTTATCCCTGTCGCCGCGAAAACATGGACCGGAATGCCTTTATACCACCCACCACACCCTCATGACACTTCGGAACGAGAGGCCAGGACATAAAATGAATAAGAATTTGAACTTTAAAAGTACTTCGGAATAGAGGCATTGTAAGCATCTAACTCAGTGTTGACGGGGTGTGCCCCCCATGCAGCAACCGGCCGTTTGCCAAGATCCAGTGGGCCATGGCAACTGAATAGAAAGGCCATCCGGTCCCAGCACACCACAACATTACCATCATTTTTTGCTCTACACCTACATAGAGATGTTATGTTGAGCATTTCGACTGGAAGGAATATGGTCTATAAAATCCATCATTCCAATAGAGTGACGTTCAATAGGTTGACGGGAAGTCCTCCGATGTTCACATACACCCCTACTGCAACTTCTCGACATTGGACATTCTAAGCCTGAGTATGTCAGAATGCCGGCATCCGGGGCACTCAATTCAAAACGATAACCCGGCTGACGATCTACTAACATCATTATTTAACCCTGTTGTGCCAAGCCCTGACAACCAGTGACGCCATGATGCAGTTTGTTCCCGCACCCACATCCCACATATGCAGGAACAGTCGCGACACGTGCACTAAACTCTTTTTAAATGCCTACGCAACAATCGCTCCCACTGTATTTCTGTGCATCGCTTTCTTCGCGCGTTTGTCCATCGGCTGCAGTATTTCTATTCCTGGCAACGAACTCCAGGCAGGAATCCAGCCAACGCCCTATGGATTGATCCAACATACCGACGCCCATTCTAATCTGTGCCGTCCACTTCAAATACTTACATTCCAAGAACTTCAATGTTGTCAGCGGGTGTTTGAAGCCTCTCTTGATAAATTATTACGGCGAAAAACGGCTAGCTACTTCACCAGCCAGCGTCGGCAGTATTCCCCTCCCGTTCATTCCATCCCTTACCTCGCCACATTCCATTCTATGCTTATCGATAGCAGCGTTTGCAAAATTGTCTTGACCTGGTCTGTTCCAAATACCGGTGAGGAGTGACGTGCTTATCTACATTCTAAGATAAACGGTTTCTCGGTATTGGGTAGTCAGGAGAGCTATCATTGGGGTGAAGAAGCCGGAAAAGTGAGCTATGAAACGAACACTGCATCGGCTTCTATGGTACAGTACCCCTCGTTCTTCAACAAAATGCCACCGCAGTTTGGGTCTGGAATTATTGGATTCTGAGTCTTTATGTATATGTGGTCAGATCACATGCCTCATTGGCTCCTTACGCCTGTACGTTCATGATATTAATGCGATATTTACTCTGACAATTTGGCTGGATAGCTCCCTTCATCACAACCTCTAGCGTCCACCATTCTACCGACTCCAACCTCCATGAGGGCATCGGAGTATACACTTTTCGCCGATGCTTCGGTAAAAATGTTGGTGTATGCGTAGCTTCCATTTTCGCGACCGGGAACCGCAGCAACGGCATGAACATATTGATAAGTGTCGCTTGTTGGTTTTCTTCGCGGGTGTTGGTTGCAAGAACCCGCAGAACCAATGTGTAAATTGGAACTGCACTTTCGTACCGGAGTGCAAATACTACCCCCGCTTTGCTTACCCCCTCCCACTAGTGATGGCTGCGCGACGTCGGAAGAACAAGCGAGACCACTCGGCTGCAGAATTCTAATACATTGCGATAGCTCAACACTCATCTTCTGCTATGTAGTCTGGCGCTTCATTGTGATCACGTGAGCCGCCAATGTGTGATCATGCATGACAGTAAGCGCGAGATGGGGGATACCACGGCTAACCCTTGAGGTTGCGCTCCCGCTGAATTAAATCCATAGCGGAACAAGAACCAGGTAGTTACAATTCAAGCAGTACGTAACTTCGGTATGCTGGCCGTATGAGATGTCCCATTATGGACTATCAGTCGACGTAGCGCGGGGTTGTATCATTAGCAGTCGCCTCTCCTCCGCCGTAGGTACCTACTCTCCTGCCGCTCTGGCGACAAGCCACAGGTGTCCTTGTCCCCACAGGCCGTGTTTATGATCGCTTATCCGCATACTGATTCTGAGAACCACCAACCATCCCCTCGGCATGATTCTTGATGGCTTATGTTTTTCATTTCAGAGGATATCTCCTAGGTAGTATTGGTATACCAAGGACGTTCTCCCACGGTTGACCGCCGCCTCTGTGCAACCAGTTCCGGCTGCGGTGCAACGTTGGCTGCGTGATGTTTAGAGTAGAGTACAGTCTGATGCTGTTTGATCGTGCAGCATATCTATGCATAGAAATTCATTATGTATATAGTGTTGAAGACGAAATTAGTGTTTGTTAAAGCAAGGGATGTTTATGCAAGGAAAGTGAATTAGGCAAGGAGAGGATTGAGCTAGGAGATGTGTAGTTTGTGCTTATTTACAGCAAGGGGGAGGTACACAAAACCACAGAACATCACGCGCCAACAACAAACATTTCGTTTCATAGATATTTTGTTGAGCAGCGATGTTTTGTATATATAGCCCTACTTCTGTCAAGTAATAGAGAATCAGTCGTTTCTATTAATCATTGCTCGCTCCACATAGCCAATATGTAGCCTCGCTGATCAGCCCGGCTGATCAGAAGAGCTACCATTTACCACCGCCCATGAATCCTGGCGCCGGTTTCGGTAAACACACAGCTCCAAGGACTACTCGGAAGACATAGATACTAGAGCCTACGCTGCCCCCGCACTTTGGCGAATTGCTGCCTAAGGTACGATTACACTTGCGATTACGATGACGCCGTGGTGACGGTTCGTCCACCACAACAGGATGAGCAGCACTCTGGGCGTCGCCTTCATCCGAAACGATTACGTTTAGCGCTGGAAGATAGCTAGCGGACGGTGGTGACATGGTAATCTATGATTCCGGATTCACAGAAACTATCCGATATCATTGTAATTCTGTAGTATGTAGATACACGGAAAACTTGGATGCCGATGTAGAAGTTCTTTAATTATGTACTTATAGGATTAAATTATGCAAACTAGATATATTCAAGTCGGCATAGTATAGTGGTGAGTACAGCTCGTTGTGGAATCGCAAGTCCGAGCAGACCCATGTTCGATTCATGGTGCCGACAATTTTTTCATCTGCGATCATATTTTTCCTGCTAAACAACTTTAAAACAAAACAAAGTAAAAACCACTGTAAGTTTATTTCTAATCTATCCCCTAGATTACCATCAACTGCAAAGATAGTCACACGACTTTTTTTTACCAGCTAGCAAAGACAGGATAACAGTCTCTCAAAGCTGGTAAAAAAGTCGTGTGACCATCCTTGCAGTTAACGGTAATCCAGGGGATATAGTCATGGAGATACATTTTGACTACATAGATCATAAGTAATGATCTATGCAACGATTTACTTCACATGTCTACGGTCTCAGGCGTTAGAATCACTGATGATCACTCAATTTCAGGAAAGTGGGAACACATTTGTATCTATTTTGAAAGTTAAGAAAGACATCCGCGAGAATAAGTGCTTACAGGAACATTTGATCCAAAACTTGATGCAAAAGTAAAGACCATGAGACTTTAAGGAAGAAAGGCTAAGCCGGTAGATGTAGATCGAACAAATGAGCAAATGAGTGAGGCAAAACCCTAATCATGAACATACATGAATTCGAGGATTACTTGGAGAGACAACCGAAAGCAAAGCGCAAGAAAATCGCCAAGTTCTCGTCTGTGTCCATCAGGTAGCATTGTTTTCTGCACCGGTGGATTCGGGATTTGGGTTCCGATAGGGGTTCGTGTTCAAACCCAGGCGGTTAATATATTCACCAAAGTATCTGTCGAAGCGCGCCACGAAAGAGGCTCAACAGGCAAAGAAACAGCGTGTGCTAGCCCCAAAGAGTTTAGTCAGCAGTGGAAGAACCAGGCTCTTGTACTGAGTTTCTAGCAGCCCTCCACGCGCTAGTCTTATGGAGTCACTTGTACACACAATGGTCGTGCAGGGGATACTTGTTCCAAATGGTCTTCGCATCAAGCCCTGCTATTCATGAATCATGTACTCCTATGCAATTCTACTTCTAATTTTACTATACAATTACCCAAAGTTGCTCTCCTAATTCTTTTTCCAACTCTATGTCCTCCGTGGAATCCTCGCTGATTGCTATCCTGTGTAGCGACAATTACTTGGTTCAAGGTTACGGGATACGCATCATATAAGTATGATCACTCGATGTCAAACACGAAGCGCGGGTGAACATTTTTTGTATTTTTCAAAACTTAAGAAGGAAATCCGCAATGAATATAAGTCATTATAAGGGAATGGGGGAAGTCTTTGATCCAAGACATGCTGGAAACGTAAAGAATATGAGATTGAAAGAAAGGAAACCTCAGGTCGGTGAATGTGGACCGAAAAAAATGAATGTGCGAAAACAGAAAGAAACAAAGCAGAAAGTTGCGTGAATCAAAGAGTGTGGTAAAAGGAAGTCTCTGGGTGTTTAAAGGTCTAGGAAAAATATATCGAGTCAAGACCGATTGTACCAAGATATCCTCCGGCTGCCTATCCAAAGCGCTGCTTATATAACTCGTCTTTGAACCCGTGTTTGATCTCGTCGTCTGAAATCGCAGAAACAACGTTTTCAAATAACCTTTGAATTCATCGCTATCAAAGAGCTCCCTCCATAACTTGGCGACTGCTTCGATTGGATGCTTGTAATAGTTGGTGGTGGTAGGCTTAACTTTTTGAGGTCCACGGCATCCAAAACTACTGGGAACAAGGTTTCTATGTCCGTGCAATGCAGCGATACGAAGAATAGTCTTCATTTGATTTTTCTGAACAATCTTTTCCTCAGAGAAGGCATATTCTTTGCCGGTTACATCTATCTTAGGATTTCTGGGCAGCGCAACAGAAACGACACTGACGCAGGTCCACTGTGACTCCGGTAAATCGGACCAATCATTCTCAAGTCCGAGTTTGACAATAACAACACTGGGCGAATAAACACCTTCCTGTAGATGGAGTGGATAGAAGTCACGGTCCCCGATTCGGCGTTCAAGCGTCGCCACCAAGTTTGACCGTCTAGCCATACTCTCCTCCTCACCATCGTTGAGAATACCCTGCTCCCAACGACCCCCCGGAGTTTTCAGATTGGTCGTGTCCAAGACTAGGATGCGGTTGGTCCTCGCCCCCTCGATAATAGGCGGTGCTTTATCACCTGCGGCGACTGTGCCGATGGGTGCCCGAAAAGAGTAATTTTGCCAATCGCGAGCGATATCGAAGGGGTCACCATATATCAAGGCGGATTTCATGAACGAATAACCGACCTCAAAGGAAAGAGGCAGTAAGGGTGGCGGATGATTATAGAGAACGCCTTCCGGAATTGTATTGGACAAACACGCAATTTTCTCGAACGAGGCGCGTGTATCTTCAGATACTTTAGCAGCGCGTTGTCTTTTGGTCTTTTCTTGGCTGGTGGACGACATTGTGATTGACTGTGCTAAGAATTAGTAGTAATGATTAGCGCATGTAATACCATACTAATATGCGTTCGTCAGTATCACGAACCTTGTAGAGTTCTGTGTGGAAGATGTCCGCCAGAAGTAAGGCGTCGCTAGGTAATGTAGGATGATGGTGGTGGGCGGTTTTGACTGAGGAAGGGGTAGCGCTGATTTATGGATGACGCCGACGGTACTTTGCATTGGAAGCAGATCTGGCTTCTCCGAAAGAATGTAGAAGTTAGAGGGGAAATCTTTCGTGCAGATTGAATAGGAAAAAGATACCGGTCAAGAGCCTGGTTGAACCTCTGTCAAGGCGTGAGGTGAATTGTAGGTGAAACCGGTGGTGCTGCGCGCTCGGAATGAAACCTACAACCACGAAAAGAACCTATGTTAGAGAGGAAAACTGTTCATAGAGGTTGAGCAGGATGAGCCCACCGGTTGTGAGCTTGCTTGGAACGGCAAACAAGAATGACGTCGAACTTGGAGGTGCTCGAAGTAATGCAAGAGGGATAATAACAAAGGACTCTCTGGGAAAGCGACGAAATGGGTGTTTCGAAACAGTAGACAGGAGTCTCACTGATTCTAGATGAAGGTGATAATGGAGTTGGAACGCACTGAGATGTAGATGGAGAGGGAAAGGGGCGGGAAGCTTCCCTTTAAATCACAAGGTTCGAGGTACACAACTCACATGACCGGTTGAAGCATGGAGGAGCTCGAATGCATTGAAAGATCAAAAGAAGCTACAGTATTATAAGTGGCTGTACGTGAGAAAGAAAACCATGCGTAACACATGACGGGGTGAACTGTACTTTGGTGATAATGACCTCGCCAAGTGGTTCCAGAAATGCTTCAGGCAGCATTTGTATTCATTGGTAAGAGCTATTGGTGATACTCTAACAACTGTCAGTAACTTTAATGTATGAATGAACCTTCCATGCACTACCCAGACCGATGTGCAAAAACTTGCGTCGAGTGAACCATCTTCCGAACTGTGGCACTTACACACTTTGGTTCGAAATGATACAAGAACGGCCGACCCATTTATTATGAGACGTTGATTCACTTAAAAAGCGAAATACGCCCATTGGTATTACGAACACCATGGCACTAATTTACTGTGCCAAGGTCCGGTGCCTAACAAACCACATTAAACACACTGCAGCCTGTTCCTTCGTCTTCCCGTACGGTCCCACGGATAACTGCTACTGTCCGCACCAGCCTCACCGTTTTACACTTTTGCAAGAAGTGTATTACAGCACCATCACACCGTACTTTAGGCAAGCGCCTTCGACAAACGCTGACGATCCAAACGCTAGAAAGCCACACTTATCAGCTTTCCATCGGGCATCGCTACTGTAGACACTGCACCGGTACATCTTTCACCCTCACCCAACCTTCCTCTCTAAGCCCGTTACATTGAACAGGCTCACCGTCCGCGCATTCCTGTTTCATGATCCATCCCAGTCTGCTTCCAAGTGATTCACTGACTTGCCATCGGCTACTCACAGCCTAGGTTATCTCCGAGTGACGGGAATGATTCCACCGTCAGCCGACACTAAATATGATACCTTTTCGGGAGCATGTTCTGTACGTTTGCCTAGTTCACTTCCCGTACTGGAACCTCCATGGGTTCTTGTGGTGGCCTGTATCGGATGTCAGGTCATTCGTTACTTTACTACGATTATGGATTCTTACTCGGAACTGCCAAGGATCCGGGTTATTGGGAAAATATTAGACACGCTACGGGAGTTAGTGGTCTATGATTAGAGAGAAAGTTGGTGGTACAAGGCCGAAGATTGCGGTTAGCAGCATATCTAGAGTAGTTCGACGGGTGGCCGAAGATAAATGTTGGAATGCACCCCTGGTTAGTGGCTCGTCCAAAAAGTTCATCCCACAGGATGAGGTTATTGGTTCGAAGAATAGCTGCCATAATAGGAAATACCTTATTACAGCAAGCCTTAGCCGTGGTCTGTGAATGAGGACTCTTGTATTGCTGCTGCCTTCTGACTGTCTATCGCCATTTCTTGCTCTTTTTTCATTGCGGGGTGGCCGGAAACACTACCGTATTCGGTATCCTGGCATGGTTACCATAGATAATGCAGCAAGTGTCCTACACTCTCACAAACTCTCGCGTTGTTTCACGCGAGGATATGTTGCACGCGACGCGTACTAATAAGGCGGGTATGCAGGGCGGGCATTTGCATTGCACGATTCATCACTCGAGCAATTGACCAAGGTTAGGGTTAATCAACGGGTAACACGCGGCAATTATCAACCCCGAGAAACGACATTTGAACACCACTTATGGATGATCAAAAAGTAATCAATTGTTGAGACTATGCTCAAATAAGTATCAGTATAAAAATGAAAAAAGTAACTGCAAAAACCAAATCTCCATGCTCCGCTGCCTCGAATAAGTAATCGCATATGGACTCCAGCAGAACATTTCATCCCCAGTTGGGCATGACGTCTCGATAGCCTAATCAGCCTCACTCACATTAACCCCATCGCATCGATGATTCTCCCCCACTTCCGGTGTAGGCCCTCTCCGGTCTCCTAACACCCTCGACATCGGGTTCTTTCCCATTGCCCGCCCCCGTGACGTTATATTCCATCCCCTCTACCATCGTCGGAG